ATCCGTCTATCGAATTAAAACTAAAGGCGGGGACGTTAAATTTAACTTGCGAAAAGACGGGTTATTATTAAAAAAGGAAAACCGCCTAGTGGTTCTAGAAGGAGATTTATATTAAATATTAATTTATAAAGTTTATATTTAATTTATTATTAAATATTTAACCTACGCTGATTACAATTAACAATACACCGGCCCCGAGCTAGGACCGCTAGGAAGCTACCCAAGGAGCCCCTACAACGCCCCAACGGTCTCGCCCCGAAGTAGAAGATAATAACGTCGACGTCCCCAACGCTATATTCGAAGACCTAGAGGCCTAATGGTAGGAAGTCCGCTCCTCTAGGAGCTATAGCACTTATAAGAAGGAATATAAAATACTTAAAGCTAAATTCGATAGAGCCTGTACGAAGCATTAGTAATAAATTACTAATATAATTAATATTGTACGAAGGTCGAACCCTAGACTATACTAAAAGTCCGCCGAACCCTAACTATTTACCTAATAATTTTAAAAATACTATATTAGAATATAATAAAGTTATATAATAGAATAAAAATTGTATTCGAAATAGAGGACCGCTATAATATTATAATAATTTAGGAGTTAGGCTGGAGTGTAGCTATAGGTAGTATATTAAATACTAAAACTTTTCGCTATTAGGCGTTAGATAGTGCTAATTAAGGGCGTATAGTACTATATATTAATAAACGCTTCGCAACCGAATAGTAAAACTATAAATAAAGCGATAATTAAATAATAGTAAAATTCGGGAGAGGAGTAGAGGAGGTAAGAGTATAGTTAGTCTATTTACCGATTTAGGACTCTAGTCCCGAATTGGGCTAATAGACCCCCTTTAAAGAGATTATATTAAAATTAAGGGGAAGAAATATAATAATAGGTAATATAAACCTCTATTACCCAAATTAGGATATATATAGAAGAGAGAATTAGGGTAGTTAAATATTCTTAGCGCTAATAGTTAATTATTAATTAATTTTAATTATATTATATAACGAATTAATATAATTAGAGAATACTACGAGAAGCGAGCTTTATAGTATAATCGACTATATATAAATTATAGAATTATTATACGCTATATATTAGATAATAGAGGATAGAACCTTTATTAAATTAAATTATTAAGCGTAGTTGGTAATTATTTATACCGAAGCCGCGGAAGAACCGACGGAAAACAACGAGGAATATAGTTAAATACTTATAAATACTAGAAAGGTTAAAGAATTCGCTAACGAATATATTATAATCCTATAAATAATTTCGATAGTAGAGGAATTAAAGGAAGTAATAAATTAATTAATATCCTAACTAATTAAAGTCGTAGACGAAGTAGTATTAAAATAAAAGAGAGGAATCGGTAAAAGGGTAAATTAGTAGAATAGGGACGTAAGAGAGGCGGTTAAATATATAAAGAGGATAGTTTATACGTAGAAATTAAGAAGAATATTAATAAGAAAATAAAAATTAAACGAAGTGAAGTGGAAGTAAAACGAAGTTATATAGTTTATATAAACGAAGTAATAGTATATATTTATAGAAGATATATTAAAGGATTTAAAGAAATTATAGGCGTTAGAGTAATAAGGAAGGATATATAGCTATTTATTATCCGAATTATTTAAAATACTAGTACTATATTATAAAAGCGACGAGGAGGAGTTGAAGAACTACGAAAATAAAATCGAAGTTTTAATAAAAAGGTTCTTCTTAATAATCGACGTACCGACGGGCTATTTATTAAATTAATATATAAAATAGGAGTCCTAATTAATAATAAATTATATAATTAATAATAATAATATAATAAAAATAATATAGTATATAGCGCCCAATAAAGCCTTAGGAAGTAATTAAATATTTAATAAATTTTTTAAAGTATATAGAAAATAATTAATAGAAGTATTAATAATAATAGTAATAGAGAGCTTTATATTCGGGTCGTTCCTAGCGTAGTAGTAATATATTAAGGTAATAATACTAAAGAAACCTAGTAAGATAGTAATATAATAAAAAGCTGTAAGTATATAGAAGCCTATTACTTTATTAAATTGCGTTAGAAAGGTATTAGAAGCTATAATAGTAGAATAATTCGTTTTTATAGCGGAAGAGTATAGGTTCTTACCCGAAGGCTAAATAAGGAACCGGAAGAAAAGATTAATAAAATTCGTAATAAAGATAATTATAAAAATAGTATATATAATATAGGAGCTAGGAGTAATTATATTACTACTTTTCCTCGATTTTAAAAGGGTATTTAATTAAGTAAATTATAGGTAGTTTTTCTATACTCTCTAAGAAAAAGGGTTACTACTATAATTCCTAAATTAAGTTACAAACTTTTTATTAAATAGAATAAATAGTTTCTACTTCGATAGAATAATATTAAAGGAATTCTATATAACTGTAGGAGTATTATAAGGCTCCCCCCTCTCCCTAATCCTATTCCTCCTCTTTATTATTATATTATATAAAGTGTTAAAAAGATTTAAAAGTATTATAATAGTAAACTTCGCGGATGATACTAATATCTTCGCTTTTTTGAAATTAATAAGGGAGAATTATAATAAATTAATAGCTATATAGAAAATCTACTACGAATAAGTTATAGAGAGAGGAATAGAATTCGAAGCGGTAAAATCGGAGTTTATCTACTTTATATAAATACGTTAGCCTAGATAAAAAACGGTTAATTTAGGGGGCTACTAATTAATACCTATAGAATCGGTATAATTCCTCAATATATAAATAGACTATAAACTAATTTATAGAATATATTTATAAATAGTAAAGAAAAAATATCAATATAAATTTACGCTCTAATATAAATTATAATAAAAATATAAGGATATAGCTTTATATATATATATAAGGTTTATATTAAAGCGATTTGAGTAGTAATAGCCTATAGGGTATTAATTTACTATATTCTAATAGAGCCGATAAGAGAATTATATAAGTTAGTACAGAGCTTCGCTACGACCTAAAATAATTACCTACGAATAGTATCCGGTATATATAAAGTAATATTAATATTTAACTTCGAAATAGAAACTTTCTACCTCCCCTTCGACCTTTATTTTAATAAGAGGGTTTAAACGTTCGAAGAGTAATTCGCCCGCTCCCTAACTACAATTTTCGTACGGGGGACGCCGGTATAGATTGTAATCGAATTTTAGAGCTAAAAAGTAAAGTACCCTCTACTATTAACGTTAATTAATAGTAGAGTGAAAGCCGAATAGGCTATATAATAGGCCCCAATTGAAAATATATTAGTATTATAAGGAGAAGTAAAAGACCTTATACCGAAAGAGAAAGAAAAATAATTGGAAGAAGTAACGAAAAGAAAGCAAGTAGTAAAATAGTATATAAAAGTAATTAAAGTAATAAGAAATAGGAGGCGTTTAAATACTATAGAAGTATATATGCAATTCGATAGAATTATACTATAGTATTATATATAGTTTTGTACGGACGAAAATCCTATATTATACTATTTATTAAAAGTTATAAGCTCCCTACTAATATAAATAAGAATTAGGAAGATAAGCCTATATATATTCCTCTTTAAAAGGAAAGTATTAGGTATAACGATATTATTCTACTAGTATAATATAAGTAAAGAAACGTTTAAATATATAATATTAGAATATTAAGAGAGGGAATATATATAATTATAGGGCGAAAACGTACTTATATAGCCGATAAATAAAAAAGAGTTTTATAATAAATTTGAAACGAATATAAAATAGATCCTATAATAGGCCTTATAATTAGGGAGGCTATAAAAATATAAATTAGTAATTAAAATTAAAAGAGCGAAGGAAGTAGAAGAAACGTTAGAAAGTATAAATTAATATAAATTAATTATATATATAAAAGACCCGGCTAAAATTAAGAATTACCTAATTGAAGAGAGATTATATTAAAACCGATAGGAAGCTAATTAAATATATAGAAAATAACCCCAGAGAAATTAAACTATATTTAAACCGGTAGGATAATAGAAAATTAATTATTCTGTAGCGCTAAATTCTAATATTATATTAGCGGCGAGAATAGTACGGGTTTTATTATTATTAAAGCTATAGTCCTTCTCCTCGAAATCCTTTTTATTAGGATTTACTTCCGAATTTTCGATATCGAAGGGGATACTACTAAGTACCGTCTTCTAATTGTAGCGGGACCAATTAGACGAAGAATCGGTAACCGAACTTAAATTTAAAATATAATTATAAATATTATAAATAATTTATTTAATACTAGAAAATTATACGAAGAGGATTAATAAAGGAGTAAACGAAAGAATATTATAAGGTATTTATAGTAGAAAGGTAATTATTAAAACTATTCTATTTAGTACGGATTATTATTATTCTATTATTAATATATTTAATATTAATAGTAATATATTCAATTTTATTGGAGAGGGTACGGACAATTTCTTTAACCTTCGCAATATAGAGACGAATTATAGTAATATTACTATAAAATATAGAGAAGTCTATAGAGGGATCGATAGTAGTATAGGTAATAAATTTCCTTTTTTTTATAGGAGATTTAATAATAATCGCCGAATCCGAAATTAGGAGGTCGCTAACCGAAAATAATTTAATACTAATATAATCCGCTATAACCTATATAGCGGCCGTCTTCTATACTTTACTAATAAGGGCCTTAAAATTATAACCTTTAGACGGGTTATAGTTATATAATACTATAATAGATTTAATAAGGGCGCGAACTAAAGGAATAAATTCGTTACTAAGGTACTCTTCGGTCTTCTTCGCCGTTTTATATTTATAGTAGGGATTATTAAAATAGACTACCTTAAAGAATTAAATATAATAATACTAAGACAATAGAATAGAGACTTATAGGGATCTTATATATATTAAATTTAGTCGAAGGCCTCCTTAAAGGAGCCTATATTTTGGAAAATCTTAAGAAGGATATAATATAAACTACGAATATAAATATTATATTAAATAAAGCTATCGGGGGGATGAAAATACACTATAGTAGTACTCTTTTTATTAAAATTCTCTTTGGTAAGGTACTTCCTAACCTTCTTTAAGGTACTAATTATAATAGGAGCGTTATAATTAGCGGGAGGCAAATTAGTAGGACCGGTATTGGAAGTTATAGCGTCTAATACTATATTATCTTCTAAATTAATAAACGGAGTTATAGCCTTTAATACTTTTATAGTAGAAGTTTTCTTAGTTATAGTACTAATATTAAGAGGTTTCTTATAAAGTATAGTATAAATATAATAAAACTAATTTAGGGTAGATATAGTTATAGGGCAATAGTAGGTTCGGCTAGAAGACGGATATAATATAGTAGGGGTAGTAGTATAGTATAAAGAAGAAAAAAGGGAAGGAAGGAGAGAATTAGGTCGAAGTTTCTTTTAAAGGATTTTAGGAAGTTTAGGATAATGTAATTAAAGAAAGATAGGATAAAAGACTACCGATTGCAGGGAATTTATAATATAAAGGATAGTAACGGAGTAGCAATAAATTAGGGCCGGACGACTACGTATATAATACAAATTTATAGCTTCGGTTATAATAGTAAGGTTATACCGAAAGGAAGTAAAACGGGAAAGGTATAGGGCTGATATAGTACCGTTGCGATGGCGAAGCGGAGGGTTTTTATCCGGCTGCAAGGCACGGTTTTTCCCACCGACTACGAACGAAGTAGCACCGCATGCCCACGGGGCGAACTATGTATATAGTTAGCGTGTATAAGACTAATAATAATAATATTAAATATGTAGGTAGGAATAAAACCTAGAGGCTCGTATTCTAATAATACTAGTAGGTTGGAATATTTAACGATATTAACCGTTTTATTAATAATTATTAGACTTATAAAGTATTAAAAGTCTCCCGGAATAAAACCCTTAGTAAATTGTACCTATTTAGCGTTTCTAATTATATTCAGCGGTATATTGTAATTAATTTCAAGAGTATACTTAAAAATAAGCGGGGTTATAATAATATAATAGTTATAGTAGATTGATTATTAAAGGCCTCCTAGTATATCTCTTGTAAAGATACTATTATTATTAAGTAAGCCGCCTACTTTTATTACTACGGACTCTAACGAATTTATAAATATCTTAAAGAAATTATAAGCGACTAGGGACCTTAATTTATATTAGCCTTTACTAACGAAATATTTAAAATCCTTAGTATTAAGTGGAAATTATCTTCCTTTAAATACTCCTAAACGGCGGGCTAAGTAGAAATTATAAATTAATATATCGATTAACGTTTACGCCCCTTTATTAACTATAATTAGAATATCCCCCTATAAGGTAATTGTAGGGTTTCCTATACCCTTGCCTTTTTATTGGGATTATTATACTATTATAATACTAATTAAAGAATAATACTCTTACGAAGAAGTATAGTAAGCCCTACGGGTTTTATATAGCTTCTAGGAATCGGTACGTAACGTTATAGCTAAGGCTTAGGCGAATTAGGCCGCTTAAGTAAATAAATATTGGCGCGACCTTAATTTTAAAGTAAATAATAGGGTATTTATTATTAAAAAAATTATAATTAACCGATAGGCTAAATAATAAGTTCGATTTTCCCCTTATACGTATCCCGTATTAAATTAAAATAATATAAGGGTATTCGTACGAATTCGAACTACCGCCGGCCTAGCGCGGAGTAAAGGTTTACTATACCGACCGTCTTCGAAAGTATGTAGATAACCTACTTCCCGGCTAAATGAATGAAAATCTAGCGGGAGAATTAGTTAGTAATTAGGAGGAATAGGAAGTTAAAGGTATTACTACTTCCCGGCTAATTAATAGAAAGTTATACTATTAGGCTAATTGGAAGGGTTGGGGTCCCGATCCTATATAGTACCCTGCCCGAGATTTTAAGAATTTGTCCAATATATTTAAAGTCTACTACAATGCGAATTTAGATAAGCTTAGCCCGCTAAAGCGACTTTGTATTTAGAAGGGTATATAAATAAAGAACTTAATATTAGAGGATTATAATAATAATAATATACCGGAGGAGGGTAGAGTAAAGGGAAGATTATTGAGAAGGTTAAACTGTTTATATAAGTAAGGAGAGGAGGATTAAGTGCGATTTAATAAAGGTTTATTGCGGGATACTTTCTAATAATAAAAACGATTCGTAGAATTAGTCTAATAGTATAGTAGTAGGATTGAGAGCCCCTAAACTATATTATAGGCTACCCCGAGGGTATTCTTCCCCTACTTGGAAAGCGATTGTAAGACTATGGGTTCGAACTATACTTGGGTTAGAAATTTTTTTTTTTCCTTTTTAAGATTCTGAAGGTAGAATCTTCTTTAACGGGGGGGGTAATTTTATAGCCCAGTCGGACGGGTTATACCTTAGTAGAATACTATATTAGAATGTATAAATGAATATAATAGTTGTAATTGGTTGTAGATTAGATAAGGAAGAGTGGGCCGTAGCGGACCGGGCTCGGGGAGTATATCTCCTACCGCCAGCTGCGCGTACAACTCTTACCTTTTATTTTACTCTTTAGTTGTAAATTCTATATTAAACGTCAATAACGCTGCAGCTGTGCCTCGCTCGTTACGTGCTCTTACAATACTACCACTATTTATAATTATTATTATGTCCGGGTTATTATTTATAATAAGATTATCTTTAGGAAGGAGTTCTTTAACGGGTATAGTAATTTTAAGTACGAGACTATTATAAAGTTGTACTTTTACTATACTAATTAGAACTATTATTTTACTATATTATTCAAATTTCGGTTAATTGAGCTGCCTATTAGTAAAATTCCTACTACCCTATCCTCCTATAATAGTATACCCTCTATTCCTACCCCCTCTCGTAGTTTAGTTAATCCTTTTATTACTTTAACCCTATAAACGGCCGATACGCCGTCGTTATAAGGGTTACAAACTCTAACTAATATTAAAAAGTTTAAATATATTATAATAAATATTATATTAATAGAAGTTGAAAAGAATTTAGAGGAGGATTAGTAATAAGAGGAATATACGGGGGTAAAGCCGTGCGGTACCGTATATTAGGAGCTAGTATAAATATAAGCGTACAATTTTAATTATAAGTATAAGAATTATAATAAAACTATTAAATATTAAATATACTATACTATTAACGGGAGTATAACCTACTATAATTTTAACGTTAAAAATATAAATAAATAAGTACGCGCAATCTCGTTAGGGAAGGCTATAGTAGTTAACCCGCCCAGTAATCTATTGTAATAAATATTAGGCAATAAAGTAATAGCCGCCTCTAGTATTAGTAATAATAGTAGTAAATATTATAGGGCTAGCGCTCTAGATTAAGACTCGGCTTTACTAAGTCTACTAAGACAGGATAGGTCGTATTAATAAGAATGCGAGCCTCCTAATTGGTCGGGTCCACATATTTGCCTAGCCCGTACGCCCAAATATAAAACCTTCTTTCAACTATACCCTTCTAGTATAGTCTTCTCTCTTACTCTCTTTATTAAATATAGTATTTTAACTATTATACAACTATTCGCTGTACAATACTCTAGCAGACCCATTACATTATATTTGACCCTCTTTTCAAATTACTATTGCTATCCTCCTGCAGGCACGCCCGAAGAGTCTCTCCCTGTCACTCTTATTATTTAAGCGACCCCTATCTATAATAATAGCACTAATAATTCCCTAGTCTCAAGACCCCTAAGAACGCTTACAGTAGTTTAGTACTACCTTCGAGACTATATTGAGCGAACTCACCGCTCTCAAAGCCTCGCTTGCCCGAAAAGTAATTTTCCCTACCCTCAAAAAGTTCGTTAGTAATAAAGAAGACTTTAAAACTTAGGTTTTAAGCGCTCAAGCTAAACTCTACGTAAATAGCCCCGCTATTAGCGATTTAAAAATACAGTTTTACTATTTATTCGCTTGCCTATCGCCCGCTATTAAGAAGCCTCTCATTACTTTTACTAATTCCCCATCGTTATAATCGCCCGCCGCCCTATTTAATAAGCTCCGGCTTACTTACGGCAATTCAAACACTACGAAACGCGTTAGTTAAAAAATCTACTAACTATACTAAAAGCCTGGCTCCAAAGAATCTATAGCGGCCTTCCTAACTCGTTTTAAGGAAGTACTCTACTATACCCGAATTAATTCCTAATTAGAAGTAGCTAAAATTAGCTAGCTTACCGCTACTTTAAATAACGATTAGAAGCAACGGTTTTCCGAAAGAACTAACGTACCTAAATAGTATTCTTAACTATTTAAATACCTTCGCCGCCTTAATAGCAATTCCTTTCTTTTTACTTTAATATCGAATTTAAGGTAATAGGTTAATAATAATAACGTTAGTAATCCTATAGATATCTCTATCAACTATACTATTCCGTTAAAGATAAAGGGGAGTAGAAAGGTCTCCTAGAAGTAAAGAATAAATAGAAGAAGGAGGGTAAGTATATTAATTATAATAGTAGATCGTATTAGTTTAAGAAGTACCTTCGGATTTTAAAGATAAATATAGTCTACCTACAACCCAGTAGGGGCTCAGACGGCTACAATAGCAACGGTCTAGAAGAGGAGGAAGACTCGGACTAAAATATACTTAATAATACTAAGAGTAGAAGAGCGCCTTCTTTAACTTACTAGGCATATTACTTACTAGTCGGGTAGATAGTAAAACTATAGTACAATACCCTCTATAATTCAACTATATTAATAGTATTTATTATAAAATGCAACCGTTGGAGGGTAATAGGCGTAAATATTTTATAGGCACAAGGATTTATTAAGGCTACCCCCTAGCGAGGGGATTATAATAGCTATAATAGTATAACAGCTCCTACTAGTAAGAGAAGTAGAGCGATACAAAATACTAGATAATAACTTTAATTCTACTCGTCTCTACTACGGATTACTAAAATAGCACAGTAAGTAGTCCCCGGATAAACAAGGTCCAAAAATATCCCTTAATTCAATCTTAATACTCTAGCCGGAGTATAGCTCTATAAGGGTAGCGGTAGGTATATTATTACCGACTTAGGTAAAGGGTAGGGAATTGTACAACGTTTGTTCGGAAGCTTAAATAGAGAGATCTTTCTTTTCTAATATTATTAAAGTGCCTATTTAGCTAGGCATTTGGTAGGGAGCGGTTGTAGGGGATTTTGGTCATTTTTCGTATATTTAGCGTAGTAGATAGTCTTTTCTAGTGCGGTAGAGCGCGCTCCCCAAGGGGGAGTAGGGGGGTAATATTATAGGGCTAACGCCCTAAATTAAGACTCGGCTTTACTAAGTCTGCTAAAACGGGATAGGTCGTATTAATAAGGATACGAGCCTCCTAATTAGTCGGGTCTATATATTTACCTAGCCCGTGCGCCCAACTATAAAACCTTCTTTCAACTGCACCCTTCTAGTATAATCTTCTCTCTTACTCTCTTTATTAAATATAGCATTTCAACTATTATACGACTACTCGCTATACAATACTCTAGCAGACCCGTTACAGTAGATATAAGGGAGGAGGTAATAGTCTATTAATTAACGTTAATATTATTAATAATATTAATAATAGTAATAGTAGTACTAATATAGAAACTATAAATAGTCTACTATAAGTTACGCTAAGGAGGGATAATTTTAAAGGTTTATACTAGCTATACCCTCCTCCCCTATATTTGCTATACCCGCTACTATACTAGTACTTCCCTCCTTACTTTTAATTTCCCTAAATTTAACTACCTCCTCCTTATATTACCAGCAGCTCTATAGCTAATTCGGTAATTATAAGCGGTTATAATTATAATATAGCAGGCACTCTCCTCCTACTAGGTAAAGTAGTAATTATCGACTTGTATACGCCCTTAGACTACTTTATTACTATATTCTATAGGTACCCGACCGACCGCGAAATTTTTACTATTAAATACGCTAACGCTAACCCTCCTCCTATTTCTATAACGACTATAGTCTCTACTTGGCTACTAATATTATTATTAATTATATTACTATTAGTAGCGAGCGAGGAGGACGAGCGTAAGGAGATTAAAAAATCCCTAGTAGAGACTAGAGAATTATTTATACTACGTCCGCCCGTACCTTCGACTTTCGGTCTTCGTTTATTATTATTACCCCCCGCCCCGCTTAGTTAACCGGCTAAGAAAATTATTACCGAATTCTTTAAGGCGTTCTATAAATGTTACTATATTAAAACGTTAATTAAAGTAGTATTAATATATAAAGCTCTAATCGCTTTAAGGAATAAGTTCCGGAATAAAGAGGCGCCTCCCAATATATTCGCACTTAGAAAATAACTAGTAGAGTAGTTTACCAAGCTGGGGTTTAATTACAATTTTTATATAGTATTTAAGGATAGTATTAAAAATTTCTTTAAAATTGAGTACGCGGTATTAGCAACGTAGTTAAACTATAGTAAGTATACTTTTTAACCCCTATTATCGTAACTTAACTAATTAATATATATTCTAGACCCCCAATTCAATATTATATTCGAATATAGCATTACTAGAACTTTCGCTTCTATAGCGAACAATACTATTACTAATAGTCCTAGCGAAGGATAATAATATTACAAGTCGATTTATAGTAAAAGAGGGGGGTTTCTAGTATTTTAGTATTATTATATAAATAAATACGATTTCTAGCACTTTTAGTACTTCTAGTATTTCTAGTATTTTTAGTATATAACTCAATTTAATATATATAAATCTATTTCTCCCTTCTATATTCTCTACTACCGTTTAAATATAGTACTTGTCTCTTTATATTCGACTAGCTCGTTAGTATATAATTCCCTATACTCTTTATTAATATTATTAAGTCAATTTATTATTAGCTTTATATTCTTAAAAAATTACGGATCTATTATACTTTATACCCTACGTCCTACGTTAGTCATTTAAGGAATGTAGTAAAGTCGTCGTCTAATATTTTATTACCGCTTTTATTACGGTATACCCTCTTAAATTGCTATTTAAAATCGCTAAAGTATATTTCGATAGGGTTGAATTCGGGAGAGTACAATGGTAAATACTATAATAAAACCCCCTTCTAATTGTATATATACTAAAGTTCGGTATAGGGGTACTAATTAACGTTATTTATTATTAAAATACTATTACAATTGGGAAATAGATTTATTTTAAGGAATAAATATTTTACTATCTAGTTTTAAACCCCGGTGTGACGAACGGCAGTCTAATCTGCCTAAGTAAGATAGCTAAAGGTATAAAGACTATTAGTACTATTCGGTGAAGTTAAAAGGTTTATAACAAGTATACGTACGTAATATTAGTCTCGGTAATAAGAATTAATTTATATTAATTACTATCGAATTATCTAATAATTTAAGTTCTCTAATCGCCTTCTTATATTATATATTCTCGAACGCCTTTTATAGTATAGTAAACTTAGCTTACCTCTATAATTAAGGGTTATTTCTATCGTTATAAGCCCGGCTTACTATCGTAAGCCTAATTTACTTATACTAACTGTAAACCTTCCTTATACTATAAGCCTATCTTAGCCTATAATTATATAATTTAACCCTTTTTAGCAATTTGTATTCCCAAGGGCCTAATTAGCCCGCGAATTCGCTTAAATTCGTAATACAATACCTCCCCTCCTTAACCGTTATCTTTAACGGCTTATTAAATTATTTTAATCTTCTATCTATTTTTATCCGTTAGTACTATCTTTCCGACTAAATATAGTAAATCTCTTTATTATTATCTTCTGCTATATTATCTTTTCATATTTAGAAGCGTCTATCTAAATTAGTATTAAAGCGTCGGACTTTATTATTTAATATTAAGAAGTTTGGAACCTTTGTAATACTTTATTCGTATTATATTAAATGTAATCTTCTTTATAGGAAGTTTTCCGACAATACGAAGTATAGTAAATATATTTATTGTATGTATTCTTATAAAGATTTTAATACTAATATTAAATATAGGTTCTTCCTTAGTATTTTTATTAATTTTTAATTAATTTATTATAGTAGTTCGTATTTCTATAGTATTCGACCGCGTATAGTAAATAAAAGTTACGCTATTATAGGGTATTAAAGAGCGTTTAAAGTAAATTAATACCTAGTAGAAGGATTTAAAGACGTAAGTTATTCAATTATTGGATTTAGAGCGGTAGTAGTAAGACTTGGCTTCTTAGGGCTATAAACTATTTTTCTATAGTATAATTAAATTAGAAGCCCTAGAGGTAAAGGAGCGGGTAATTAATTTAGAATTAGAATTATTACTTATAAAATAATTAATAGGGGAATTTACCTCTTTCCCGCCTATCGATTGAATAGTTTTAAATATTCCGGCTTACCCGGCCTCCTAATTAAGTAGTCCTTCGGTTTTAATTAATCCGGGTTCCTTTAATAGAATTCTTCTAATTTCTTAAAATAATTTAAATTCTTAATAGGCTCCTATATATTATCTTTAGGACCGAATCCTTTCTATTTAATAAAGTATTCCAATTCTCCTTTTTCTACTCTTAAATCTAAAATTTATTCTATATCCTATTCTTTTTCCTCATCCTTAATATTAGTATATATATTAATTTATATATTCTTAAAAACTAATTCTAATAGTATAATATAAAATAAATATAATTTTAATTTTATAGTACTAGGAATATCCAATTAATATACTACATTAAAAATCTTCTTCTTAATTCTAAATAGTCCTACTTATTAGTCGTTAAATTTTTTACTAGGTTTCTATATTTTAAGGTTCCTAATCAATAAAAGGATTTTATCCCCCTACTTAAAGTAAAGTCCCTCGAGCCTTTTTAAATTAAAATACCGGCTTATCTTTTATTAAACGAACTCTAATTCTTCCTTGAATTTCTTATATAATATATATAACTTTCCGGCTTTAATTAAAGCCCTAAGAATATTCGTATTTAATCCTTCCAAGAGTTCTAATTCGTACTTATAATTTATAAAGAAAGGTAAAACCTTAGTAGTTTCTATAGGGGAGGTATTATATACTAATTATATTATAGGTAATAATTCTATTTAATTACTTTATTCGAAATTAATATAATTCCTTAAATATTACTCTATAATTTAATTGATCCTTTCCGTTTATCCGTCGGTCTATGGGTAATATATAGTAAATATTTTACTTTTAATACCAAATTTAATTATTAATACTTATTAAAATTTAAATATAAATTTAATATCCCTATTTATAATCTATTCCTTTAACTAACCGTATACCGAAGTAATATTCCGATAGATTATATCTATAAATTGCTCCGCTAATTATATTTCCTTATAGGGTAGGAAGTAACTCTACTTAATTAACCTATTTACTACTATTAATATACTATTATATATAATTCCCGTAATAATATTTATAAATAGTAGTAATTTAATAATAAAATCTATAATTACCGAACTCTATAGCCTTTCTACAATTTCTAAAGGTTCGAAGAATCTATATAGCTTATATCTTATAACCCTAATCCTACTATAATATTTATAGGCCTATAATATTCGAACTACTTCGGCTTTTAATTTTAGAAAATTATAATATTACTATACCTTTACTATAATTTTAATAATACCTATATATCCTCTTATTTTAAATTTATAAATCCCTATAATAAAAGCTTCTTATTACTCTAACTAAGTATAAACTTTATTATAGTACTATAATTTATTATTCTAAAAGGCAATTTCTTTTTCTAAATTATCCTTCTATTTCCGTCGCTCTTCTAGGATTATAATAATAGCTTAATAACCGGGGTCCTACAATTTAACTTAGTAAACAATATAATATTCTACTTATTCCTATAGAAAGTATACGAATTTTCTATTTAATTATTCCTAAAATAATAGTATAAAGGCTTCTACTATATTTTTTATATAATTTGCCCGACGGTTTAAAGCATTTACTTAGGCATTTTCTAAACCCTTCTTATAATTAATTTTAAAATTGAATTCTAATAAGAATTCGGCCCAATATATTTAACGGCTATTAAATACCTTTGTAATTATAAAGTACCGAAGATTATTATAATTAGTATAAATTTATACTTCGTACGTAGTTCTATTAAAATATAGCCTTTATTCTTAAAACGTTTTAATAATAATTAAGAATTCTTTATTATTAATAGGATAATTATAACGGGGTCCTTCTAATTTTTTAAAGAAGAAAGTTATAGGGTATAATTTCCTATATTTATTATATTATCCTAACTATCCTCTAATAACGTAGTTTAATGTATTGGTTTTAATTTTAAAAAGTTTATTTAAATTAAGAAATTTTAATATAAAGTCCGTAATAATTGCGTTATAAATATCCTTAAAAGCTTCCTCTTCCTCCTTTCCCTATATAAAAATAGCCTCCTTTCTAATAAGTTTATATAATAATTTAATAATCTTCCCATAGTCTTATATAAATATATAATAAAAGTTAATAAACCCTAAGAATTCGTAGACTTTAATTATATTCCTAAGTATAAACTAATTTTATATAGCTTCTACTTTACTTAATTCTATCCTAACTTTATTTTTCAAAATTAAATATCTAAAAAATATAATTTCCCTTATATAGAATTCGCTTTTCTCTATATTAATAGAGAATTCATATTCGTATAGTACATCTAATATTTTTCTTACGTATTCTTTATATTCTATAAGAGTTTCAAAGTAAATAAAAATATTATTTAAATAATAAATAGTAAATTTATTAAAGTAAAATCGAATTATATAATTAATAACAAATTAGAATATTATAAATATATTAATTAATCCTAAAAGTATTATAAAGTACTTATAGTATCCGTAGGGTATATAAAATACTATCTTCTATTCGTCTCCTTCTTTAATTCGGATATAAGTATAAATAATAGGTAAATTAAGGCGTATAAAGTATTATACTCTTCCTAATTAACTTTAAATATATAAAATTAAAAGTAAGGAATAATTATTTCTTATAATCTCTTAATTTAATTATTTATAATCGATATAAAAGCGCAACTTTCTATTCTTTTTTAGTATAAAAAGGATAGGGTACCCTACTAATAATATAAATTCCTAAATATATCCTCGTTCTAGGTTTTCGTTTAAATACTTCCTTAATTCTATATTTTACTTTCTATTAATATAATATACTTTAAAGAATTTAAACTTAATTCCTTCTTTAAATTTAATTTTATAGTCCTACAATTCTTATAATAGTAATCCTTTAAAGTACTTACTAATAAAAGCTAGATATCCTTAATATTCTATTAAAATTACTATTTTTAGCTTCTCTACTTATTAGTTCTAATAATAATTAAACTTATACTAAATATTAATTACTAATACTTCTACTAATATTATTAACCCTTCTTCTATAACTTTACTACTTTTATTAATAATACGAATTATAACTTTTTATACTATTTATAATAGGGCTATAAAAATAGTATCTTCGCAATTCGCTTCCTTCCGTACTCTAATTTTCCTATTAATAATTAAGTATATCCTAAAATACAAATAGCTACCTTCCTTCCAATTAATATTTAAATTGTATATAATATATTATAAATACCTTAGGATTATATTTTTAAATAGCCCTATTTCAACGATATTAAAATTAATTTCGATTATTTTACCTTCTACTATAATAAGGAATAATAATATTTCCTATTTTATAATCTACATCTCGAAAGGCCCTTTTACTATAAAGGGTACCTTTTTCTTTCTTTAGGGAATTCTTAATTATAAAACGAATTTAAATATAATAAAATTCAATTAAACTTTAGAATCTACTAGTATAAATACTTAGTAATTCTACTAATAAACTATAATTTTAAACCTCTAATCCTATTTCCCTTCTTCTATAATTATAATTTCTATAAGTACTATAGGATCCCGGATCTTATTTTTTTAACGGCTATATCGCCGGATAATCTATTTTATTTAGGGTTTTAATTTTCGTCGGGCCTCCCTAAAAGCCCTAAACCGTTTCTTAATTCCTAATAATAGTTGTTAAAAATATTTTTTTTCTTAAATTTAAATTCGTTTAGCGAATTATATTCCTATAACTATACTATATATACAACTTTCTCTTTATTTTTATACTCAATTATTCTAACTTTTTTAAATATAATTATTAAATTCCTTTTTAATATTCTAAACTTTTTATTTCATATTAATATAGTAATTGGATATTAAGCACTATTATTAATAATAGTCGGCTTTTCCCTATCCTATATAAATATAAATATTATAGGGGCGAATAATAAGTCTTTTAAATAATAGCTATTTATCGACCCTTATAAAAGGTTGTAAATTAAATATAAATTATTTATTAATAATAAAGGTAATTTATAAATTACTTCGGCTAAAAGTACGTATAACCGGTCTAAATTATCCTTATTAGTCTAGCCTTCTAATAGGTTAAAAATAATTATTTCTCTTTTTCCTATAATATTTATAGTAATTATTAATAATATATTAGAACTATAGTATTTAGTAGTAAACGTAATAAAAGGAATATATTTGGGCCGTATCTTTTTTAATTAATTAATATACTTTCGAAGGCTCTAGGATTCTTTCTTAAGTAATTTTAGGCTCCCCTTCGATAATAATTATATACTTCTTCCAAAAGTCGTCCTACGATTCGTCCTTCCCGCTTTTATTTAAGTAATATTATAATAACTCTATTTAATACCTATCGGTAAAGCTATTAGGGTATCCGTACTAATATAAATTAATAAATTCAAAGATATAGTATTCTTCGATTATAAAGGTTAACAGAAATATTAGAGGAAGGGTAATACTTATTATATATATAATTATAAAGAAAATTCAATTAGTATTAAGGAAACTACCAATTTCTTCTTATATTAATATTCAGTATATTTATACCTAGGGTATATCGGTATTTTATACTTCTTCCTTAGGATCTTCCTTATTAGGCCCTTCCTAATTATATTCGTTATCGGCCTCCTACTATACTTCCTAATTAAAATTTATAATTCTATTTATAGCGTTTTCTAAATTGTCTTAACTATATTCGGCGCTAGTAATCTTAATTACCTTAATTCCTTCTACTATAGTAGTTTCTAGTTTTTTTTAATTAATTATTTAAATGTATAGTAATTTCTCTTTATATATTTATTCTTACTATAATTAAAGTATTTAACCTCTAAAAGGTCCTACTTATTTTAATTAATTTAAATTATATTGATTTCTATAGGCTTAGAGTAGGTAATTCTAAAAATATAAATTCCCTAAATCCTCTTTTTTTTAATAGTAGTATTATTAAATTTAAAAGGGACGAAAATAGTCGTCTTCCCTTTCTTTTCCTATTCCTATTAGAATTATTAATTATTAATACAAATAGTCTTATCTATATAGGCATTAATAGTCCTAGGGCGGTCCTCCTTATAGAGTTCGTCCTTAATTTATTCCTTAAAGCTATTATAGAATAATTATATTAGCCTATTATTATTAATATTACTATAAAGGGAATTTTGCTTAAAAAGCGCAATATAGGTTAAAATAGACTTAATTTATTAAAAATAAATTAAATATTCCTAAGCCCTATGAATTTTATCCTTCTCTCTAAAAATTTAGAAGAGGGCCTAAGTAAATTCCTTATAGGAACCTAAGATTTTCTTAGTAAAATCTAAAACCTAATCTCCATTCTTATAGTAATTCTTAAAAATAGGCTCGTACTAAATAAAGACTTTATTTATAAATCGAATACCCGCGTAGGCTACCTTCTCGAATTTAAAAGCAAACCGATTTCTATAGAAGTAGAAGTAAATATATATTTAAATTAAGAATCCTATAAAGGCGGCCTATTAATTATTAAACTCTTTAAATACAGATAATTTAATCTTTAGTCTATTAATAGGGGTAATTCCCTCTTTTACTTTCGCTTTAGGGGTACCGGGTCTAACCTTAAATTAAATTTCAAATTAGAGAATATATTCCTACGTAGCTTTAAACTACTATTAAATAATAGCGAAATTTAAGGGCTTACCCTAAGTATTATTATTATTATTTCCGGCGGTAGTAAATATAATAAAGCGAAAATAATACTTTTAGTACTATTTAAAATAAATTAAAGGGAGTAGTTAATATATAACGAATAGTAGTCTAATTTACTTAAATAAAATAACTAAAGGTATAAAGACTATTAATATTATTCGGTAAAGCTAAAAGGTTTATAATAAATATACGTACGTAATACTAATCTCAGTAATTAAAATTAATTTATATTAACTACTATCGAACTATCTAACAATTTAAATTCTCTAGTCGCTTTCTTATACTATATATTCCCGAACGCCTTTCGTAGTATAGTAAGCCCAGCTCACCTCTATAATTAAAGGTCACTTCTATTATTATAAGCCCGGCTTACTATTGTAAGCCTAGCTCACTTATACTAATTATAAGCCTTCCTTATACCGTAAGCCCATCCTAGCCTATAGTTGCACAATCTAACCCTTTTTGGTAGCTTGTACTCCTAAGGGCCTAGTTGGCCCGCGAACTCGCTTAAATTCGTAACACCCGGCTAAGTCCGTTATACTTCTAAATATTAGTATATTAAGTAGCCTAATTATTATAATAGTTAAAAGAAAGTAATACCGTGTACTATAAATAAACTTATTTAATACCGTTACAATAGCGCTATAGGGTATCTAACTAGTATAATAAGTACTATCCCTTCGATTTATACTAAACTCGTTATAAAATACGAATATTTCTATAATAAATAAAGAGATTTTTAATATTTATTTAATTACTAGTATAGGGGATTATTATAATACTTTTATATAGAGTCGCTTCTTCTTCTATTTCTCCTATCGAAGGTGCCGCTGTACGGTTTCGGTCGAAACGTATACGTTATACTCGTTAGTTAGAAAGGTATAAATTTTGTTGAAGTATAAATTGGGTTTCAATACGAGAAGGTTTATAACTTCCTTTACGATGTTAGTTATAGTTAATAAAGTATAGGGAGTAATATAGTATATAATATACTTTAAGCGCTTATATAGGAAGTTTTCTAGCGTTCTAGGGGGTTCGCAATAGTATAAATACCTTACTAATATCTGCTAGAGTACGCTTATATTTCTACGTACTCTCTATACTTATATTAGTAATTTTAGTAACGTTATTAGGATATTCGTTATTTATTAGTATTATTATTATTAATACCTTCTAGCGGGTATTAGGGTAGTATACTATATTAATAATAATTTAAAAGATAATATAAATATTAAAATAGATAATTGTACAATTTAGAGTATTAAAATATCGATTTTTTGTACTAGTTTTGGGTAGATTTCAATATTAAACGATTGAGTTGAGTCGTGTAAAGCGATGTCAAATGGCCAGATTTGTCAAATGCGGTGTGTGTGTGTGTGTGTGCACGCACATACGCCCGCCAAGACTGCACAGGTGTTTGAGTGTGGGAACGGCGTCCTTAGCTCCTTAGTACCCCGCCGGCGTCATCGAGCAATTTGACCTCCAGCTACCCCGCTCCCCGCAGCCATTGGCCGTCAAGGTGTCGGATTTTCACCGCGGCAGACCGGCAACAAAATATGAGTATCGTATCCTGATAATCATCGCGGTGCCAGTTATGTCCGGCCAACAACGCCTTTTGGGGGGTGTACACTACAAGGGGAAGTGATCGAGGAGACGAGGGGTTGACAAATGCATGTCGTCACCATCGCAATCGCTGTTGCGACCTTTCAGCTCCACCGGTTCGATACCAAAAAGCGGTCCCCCGTTTGACCATCAAACCATGGACGGAATGGTGGGTTGCCGCCTACACTAGAAAAGAACGCGAGCTCCGGTTGTTGAGCGGGGATTAGGGATAGCTCCGTCCTTTATCTCCACTAAATATTTGGGTTTGAAATGTCGCCCAGGCCCCTCCTCATCCCATTCTCCAGGTCTCTCCTGCCCGTGGTCCGTTTAAAAGCCAGCTTCGTCCCGCTGCCATCCCTCTCTTCCTGTCCGTCTCGTCTCTATTCCACATCACCATCCAGACAAACAAACACAATGTCTTCCGATTCTCCCGTCGTTCCCACGGCCTACGAGCCCAAGGACATGAAGTTCCGCTACCTGGGCAACACCGGTCTCCAGGTTTCGATCTTCTCCCTCGGTGGCTGGCTCACCTACGGTGGTACCCAGAAGGGCGAGATCGTCAAGAAGTGCCTTCAGACTGCCTGGAACCATGGCATTGTACGTCTTGATCCTACGTCCGTCCAGCTCACCAAAAGACACCAAACTAACCGCGTCTTCAACAGCAAACCTTTGACACCGCTGAGGTATATGCGAACGGAGCTTCCGAGGTCGAAATGGGTCAGGCACTCAAGGAGCTCGGCTGGCCCCGTGACGAGTACGTCTTGACCACCAAGGTCTTCTTTGGCACCGGTCGCAAGGAGCCCAACACTCGCGGTCTCAGCCGCAAGCACATCGTTGAGGGTCTCAAGGCCTCGGTCAACCGTCTCCAGACCCCTTACGTCGATGTCGTCTTCGCCCACCGTCCCGACGCTGCCACCCCCATGCTGGAGATCGTCGAGGCCTTCACCCAGGTCATCCGCAACCTCAACCTCGCCTACTACTGGGGCACCTCTGAGTGGAGCGCCGTCCAGATCAAGGAGGCCATCCACCTCGCCGACAAGCACAACCTGATCGCCCCCGTCGTCGAGCAGCCCCAGTACAACGCCTTCCACCGCGAGCGTTTTGAGAACGAGTACGCTCCCCTCTTCAAGGAGCACGGCTACGGCACCACCATCTGGTCTCCTCTCGCCAGTGGCTTGCTCACCGGCAAGTACAACGACGGCATTCCCGAGGACTCTCGCTTTGCCACCAACAAGGCCTTCTTCGAGAACACCATCAAGAGCCTGCAGTCTGAGGAGGGTCAGGCCAAGATCGAGAAGGTCCGCAAGTTGACCAAGATCGCCGAGCGCCTCGGTGCCACCGTCACTCACCTTGCTCTTGCCTGGGCTGCCAAGAACCCCAACGTCAGCACTGTCATTCTCGGTGCTACCAAGGTTGAGCAGATTGAGGACAACCTCAAGGCTCTGCCCCTTATCGACAAGCTCACTCCTGAAATCATGGAGGAGATTGAGTCTGTTCTTGACAACAAGCCCACGCCTCCTGCCACCTACGGCCGTGACAGGTAAAGGGCTGGCTGTGTGACGAATGGATGAAGTAATGAAATAGAATAATCAAAAAGTTCAACCTCAACTGTCTTTGTTTCATGTATGCTCTCCTGTGTTCTGTGATGTGTGTGCCTCTCTAGAAGCTACTGTTAGTCATGTTCGACTCGGGTTGACGCACTGATGGCCAGTTCAGGTCTCTTACCCAGTCGTCATGTGTACTGATGATCGAGAAACTTGATGATGGCATGAATAAAAAGTGTCACATCCCTCTAAAACGAACAGTCACCTTTAAAGCCCTGCACCGTAAGCCGCATATATCCATAACGTACAACAAGTAACCGAGTAAAATGGATTCCTGCTAAAGAGACCCTTTGGGGAATGTTTAGCTTCCCTAGGCGCAGGGATTGGGAGCTTCATCACGAGAAATCAATCATATCACTATTCCAAAGTTGTAATCTTATTTTGTTACCCATTAGAAGAATAGTATCTATTACTCCAAGCTCTTTCTCACCACATAACATCACGATCAGATATCATCCCTCGCCCAAGGCTTCACGCCCTCCAACAACTTCTCATTCGCCTCCTTATCCCCCGTAGCCTCCAACAACTTATCGAACCCTTCCGCGTCCGCATACTTCATAAACAGCAAAAACCCCGCCCACACAAAATCCGCATACGACACCTTGTCTCCCTCAAAGAATGGTCCTCCCGCAGAGGTTTGTCCCTTCTTCAACAAAGCCGTAACCTCGCTCAACTCCTCCCGGATCTTCTCATAAGCTTGGACCCCGCCCTGCGTCTTCTCCAGCTCCTCAATCGACATCCCAAACGCCGCCTCCCGCGTGCTCTTAAAGTACGGCTGGCTCTTGGGGCCGAGAATGTTCTTGACGGCGCCAGGCACAAAGACACCGACCAGTTTGCCCATCATGCCGGGCATGAGGGACTCGAGCTTGGCGAGGGCGGGGGTGTCCAGGTGCAGAGAAGGGTACTGGGGCGCAGGGTAGCGCTCCTCGAGCGCCACGGCGATAGGCTTGGAGTCCATCATGTAGGTGCCGTCGGGGAAGCGGATGGCGGGGATGGTGTAGGAGCTCGTGGAGGGCTCGGGGGCGGTGGGCGGGAGGTGCGGGGAGAGAGTGGGTCGGATGTCGGGGTATTCGAGCCATTGGGTGTGGTAGGGGAGGGACTTGTAGTTGAGAGCGAAGCGGGCTGGTGTAGGAGGGAATATGTTAGTGAGCTGTTTGGGAGAGAAAATGGGGGGGATGGATGGATGGATGGATGGGACGGTATTGTTCTTACTCTTCCAAGGGTTGAGAGTCCATGTGCGACCATCCTTGCTGGGGATGTCGAAGAAGGTGATTTGGTCTTGGTTGGCCATGGTGACTTGAGCTTGAAATTGCTTTTGAGATGTGTTTGACTTTGCTTGGTGATGATGAGACAGACTGAGACTTCGGTGGTGTTGGGGTCGCTGCTTGTATTTATGTCATTCGGGAACTAAGCCGAGGAGCGGGTCTACCATACAATCCACTCACTTGGTATTCACACAGCCGAGCCCACAGTTCCATAGGTCGATCGGATGTTACACAGAGATGACAAATCACTAATCATAAAATGCCCTGTAGAGGTAACTTTACCGATTATAGTAAGGTACCTTGGGGAAGGGAGACTTAGGGCGATTCTGACGGTTTTTTTAGCCAGAATAAGAGGTCTTTTGTGCGGGTGTTCGATTCCGTTCCTTCTGTCAACTCTTTCTCTTCCTGAAACCAAGCGATTTCAAGCCAATCATATCGCGTAGATAGACGTGTCCTGCTTGAAAACTCCCCAGTCACCCGCTAGTAAAAAAAGAATATGGGGCGCGTCCCGCGCCGACAAGCTTCTAATAATTGATGTATAGTAAGTATTCACAATTGTTAAAGTTGGTTGGAACGTAAAAGCTGACACCTTCGCATTGAAACATCAAAGTGACGCTGAGGATTTCGGATATTCACGTATGTTGCAGCCGAAGTGGTACAGTGATGCCCCACGATGACAGGGAGCGGGGAAGGTACCACGGTACGATGTTTAGTGGACCCCAACGTCGATCAAAGGGCGCGCCCAGGTCTCAACAAATCCGCCCATGTACAATGTACATAGATAGTACAGCGACACATACTTCTGATACAGAGCTCTGTTTCCGACTCTTCACTCACATCTTACTCTGCCCGAATTGTCCAATGGTCCAATCCTCGTCGCTGTTTGCTTGGACTTCGAGTGACGTCCCCCGAATGCGAACCGAGCGGACCAGCCTCAAGGGAGTTATTCCACAACGGCGAACAACAACCGCTGGACTCATTGTTGACACTCGTCCATCACTCTTCTGTTTCGACGTTAATTGCGCATTGGTTTCATTCTTCATGGTAGGAGATTGGAAGAGAATCCCTCAGGTGTTTATTAAACAATTCTCCCCACATTCGGGCGATCCGTGGAGTGTCATTCTCAAGTGACAATGTTGAGTAATCAACGTAAACTATATTCCTTGCGATGGCAATGAGGACTCTCACCCCCAAGTAACTTCCCAACTTCCTCATATGCTTGAGACCCTGGCGGTAGGCATGGGAATCATGATAACTAATCCGATGTCCAGTTGTCCATATTCGAGACAACGCTCCGTTTCCATACCACCCCAATTCCCTGATATCGAACGCATCACTCCAACTGATAACTAACAGAACCTGTGATGTCCAGTCATGAGGTGTCCCCAAGACATGACAAATAAAACGACCACCTACAGCAGATTCTCATCATACCACCTTGCTCCCTTTCCTTCAAAGACCTAAGCTCATTTCCAATCTTGAATCGAAAACCCCATCATTCCTCCCCGCTTCTTGAGCTCCTCAACGTCAAACGGAATCATCTTCACCTCCCCCATAATCAGTTCATCCAGCCTAATCCACTTATCATCCCCAAACGGATCGCACGCCCTATGTCCCTTTAGGGTATGCGTAATTACCACCTGTTCAGTCGCCGTCTTCCCAATCTTCTTGATCCGCCTGTATAGATGACTCGGGCTGCAAGTCAAGTCCATCGTGGCCCATCCTTCCTGGCGCAGTACACGTTGTAGAGCTCCGAGCATACTAGCGTCGCAATTTACCGCGTGGGTGACTCTCCCTGGAGGCCTGCGGGAGACGCATAACTGTCGAGGGGTGTCGTCTGGCGGGATCTCAATAGGCTGTCTGGGATTTCTGGGATCGTGACTTTTAGCTCTATAATTTTGTTCTTCGTCATCGTCACTGGGGTCGCGTGGAGGGAGGACTGGAGGGGAGGATGTGAGACGCTCGATTACTTGCTCGACTTCGAAGAGGAGCCGGTTCATGACGCGCTGTCGGCAAATTGTGATGTCTCCTAATTTCAATATTGTGTTAGCAAGGCACGCGAGAATCCCATCGTAGGAGCGCCTCGTCAAGAGGTTAATGAGATATATGAATCAATCATCATCAACATCAACGTGGTGTTGCCATGAATCATTGAATCATGCTTAGGAAAATAACCAGTAATCAGGAAGGGGAGGTAGACATACTAAGCAATCCCAAATGCACCAACGGAGCCCACTGCGTGTACTCATCCTTCCCTTCCTGGGCTCCGTATCCCAGCAGCTGACCGTCCTTATTGATCCTTGCTGTCTTGACCATACAGCGAATAGTGTGCCTTATCATCTTGAGGTGACCCAACTCATAGACTATCCAGAGCTGCTTTGCCACCTCGCCATGGCGGAGGGGGTTTTCGTGATAGATCCTCTTGAGCCAGGGAACCGCAACCGATTGGAGGCTCAATGTCATTCCGTAGCGATGGGTAAACATTAAGAGGTCGTAAAAAAGCTGGACACTCTTGAAGCTCTTCTCAACCCTATTGAGGAACCCGTGGATGACGAGTAGGAACGTTTTGCACACTCTATCCTCTACGTCTGGGATAAAGAGAGTCGGAAGGGAGGACCTATTCTCCTCGGGCGGTATCACGAAGGCGGCAGGAGAGCGCAGAGGACTTGGTGTCGGGGGCGGTGGGGGCTGTTGATTGACCTGGCTGTGCCTCTCGGGCATGATAATTGCGGCGAGAACTGGGGAGGAGCGAAGGATGGCGGCAGTACTGGCGAGGAATCTCTGGCGTTGTGGGCCACCGGACCCGACAATAATGTTGCCATTGGGGTCGATCACCTCGAGCACATCGTCTTCGTGATGCGGAACGGGAGGTGCAATCGGCGGGGGTGGTGGACCTTGCGCTGGTGAACAAGCTTGCTCCCGGGGAGGAGAGCTCGGTGCTAGCAGACCGTCGTAGATAGTGTCGATTGATGGAAGTCGAAAGGTGGGAGACGGCCGAGGAGGGATGGGTGGTACTCCTGGTTTGTACATGGTGGGTGCTGATGGCGGCGGTGCCTCCTCCATGTCGACTGCGGACTCGTATGGTGTATGCGGTGCAGGCTCTGCCGGCGGCGGCGATCTGGACAATATCTGACGTGCCAGGTTCGCGCATTGCTGGATATGGTTGCCAGGACTAGATGATTGATTGTTGGCACCCTTAAAGCCTTCGGCTTCCAACCATGCGTCAAAATCCCCGTCATCGTAGCCCATGTCGTAATCGCCATCGGAGTCGTAGCCGTCCCTGGCGGCGGGCGGGGCATTGGGATCGACCATTTCCGCCATGATTGCTGTTGCTTGAAGATTTGCTGGAGCTGGAGGAAGAAGGTGCGAATAATAAGAGAAGAGAAATGAGTGTGTAAGGCCGTTCTTGCCTAGTGGGTTGTGGAAGAGGTTGTTCGTGGCAGAAGGAAAGTTTGGAGGGCGGGGGTGATCACTCTGGCAAGAGCGGGTCAATTTCTGGACTTCGTTTTCGTGGCCAGCGCCGGTTGTGCAAAATTCACTGACTGTACTGGCTAAGTGTCTGTCAGATTAGGATGATATCCAGACGTGTAGAGAACCCCCCAAGCTGCACAGGTCAAGAGATTGTTGTTTAAAAAAAAAATTTAAACGCGGAGAGACGACCACAACCGTGAAATCCTTGCAGCAGGCAGCAACAAGGTTCAGGAAATGAGAGTCCATTCACTCGAGCCTTGACGTGTGACTAACCGAAAAATACATCAGACGAAAGGTTAGAAGAAATTAGACTAGCTGGCCCGAGTAATGAGAAGGCGGGATCGATAGCTGGTTCAGAGCAACGCGTGCTGGGCGGCTATCTTGGGATGGTGCTTAGAGACGCATGACAAAGAGTCAGTATGATAAACATAGAGAGTTCCGTCACTTCTTTGGAGAAATTAGCAGTCTATACTATGCGAAGTTAAGACTATAACGTAGTGGTATTAATATTGGTCGGCTCTCTTTGCCCCAGACACCATGACAACGCAAGTATATAATCCTACTATAAAGGATGCAAACCTGCAGAACCAAGAATTACATCCGGTCTACTCAACATTGACATAACATGGGAAGGGAAGGGCATGAGAAGGATATATGGACGTTGAGTGAATATCCAAGGAGCTTATTGGCTATGGGTATAGGTACATGTTTCACGGCGCGACAATATGGAACTCCCATTTACAAAGTACGTTCAAACTTCATTTATTACTATCGCGTATTGGTTATTTCCCGTCGATGGTGACGTGGTAAGAAGAGAAAGGAGTTAGAGGTGGAAGGAGTTATGTCGTTAGTGATAGCCTCATTCTGGGAATTGGGGGTCGATGTGTTGGTATCCACCAGCTGCTGTGAGCTGCTAGTGTCGTCTACGGCTCCATGGACTGGCGAGGTGGCCAATGTATATGATGGTGCTGATGATGCTGACTGTGTGCCGAATAGCACAAAAACAAATGATCCGGATGATAGATGTCGACCACATGACTGCGGCATCATACACCAGGTGATAATGAAGTTAGTATAGGATCTCCAGACCACTCAATTACTCATTGCCTCTCAAGTATCTATAGAGAGTCACCAAAGGTCTTTGAGCCGAATGATGAAAGACGTCACGATGTCTAAACAACCAAACACAGGAAAAGGACGCATAGGTATATATCACAAGTTCAAAGACAGGCAGCATCAACTGAAGTATGGTTCACATATGCAGTCACCCCATGCGACCATCAATGAGATCCAGATCTGAATCGAGATCAATATAAGCTGTAAGCGTGGATTACAAAAACAGTACAATAAGAAGAGGAGGGTATTCGTTCGTCCACAGATGTCCAGAAACCATGTATCGTCCGGTTCCCATGTCCATAACAGAACATAGCGAGAAAACATTTTCATCCTTTTATCCCCCAAAAGTGTTGCGAAAGCAAAAAAGCAACAAAACAAACCGTGATGATGCCAATAGGCCAAGCAAAGAATAAAAGAAAACCGCGCGATAATATCCAATCCAATTATACAACATGCCAGAGACACAACCCAGCCCAACACCTGCGCTACCTCGAAATCCTGTAAGCCCTGTGATGGTATGATATGATAATGAGGAGATGCAAAGCCAGACAAACATACGCACCGAAAACGGAAACGCAAACAAAAACAATAATAGCACAGGGGGAAAGGAAAATGAAATCCCCAAAATAAACCAAACCCATCATGTGAGTGCCAGGTCGCACACAATTGACTACAGCAAGTCCAGTGACCTCTCGACCTTTCGACCGACCGAAACTTGTGACCTCTCACGACAGTAGTGACCTGTCAACAAACACCCTATCGGGATCTCAGCCGCGGTCTCGGCAGCGTCTTGGCAAGAAAGGCACTGCCCCAAGCCATCAAAAAGCGTTGACGGTGTGATAGATACTTGTAATTGTGTAAATATCACCCGTCGTCCTCCCAGGTAATCCCAATTTATTCCTCCGACTGTCTCTCAAGGTCTCGGCCGCCTTGGAATTCCTTCCAAGGTGCCACAGTATGTATGTAACGCGTATCATCCATCCGAGATCCGGTTGGCCGGTCCCAGGAAATAAGGGATGCAAGTGATGATCCAACGGTGAAGGAGGCCAAGGGCGCCAAGGGGGACCAAGGTATCTCAGATTGCCTTGGCAAAAAGGGCCAAGACCATGTTTCTCGCTTCGTTGATCGTTCGCTTCGATTCCGATAGTTTGGTCTGTTCTGTTTTGCTTCGTTCCCGCATTCTTCTTTCTGATCATCTCGTTCTTCGACGACTCCCGCCGTGTTTCACACACCTTCCGAGAGAGGGGAGAGCTTGTGCCATTTGCCAAGCTGTCAATGCAACGTGATCAGCACGCACGAGAACCAAACACCCGAAAAGCCAAGACCGTTTCCTTCCCGGCCGATACCAAGCCTCTTGGCACATGTGCCGCATAACGTTCTTCCCATTTGCTTGCCGGTCGCTGTTGGTTTGAACCAGTCGTTGGGCAATGCCCACCTCCATCCATCCCTGTGTCTTTTGTTGATGATAGTCCCCCTTCCCGCTCCTTCGTCATTGGAAAGGAGAAATTGTGCCGCGGCTTGGCTGGCACAGAATGGCACGTTGCTGTAGAGCCCAGGACCCGAAAACCAAGTTGTTGGGCCCGCGTGCCGTGTTAATATGTAGGACTCGCTTCATTCAATTTTTTTCAGCCCTGGGATGGTTTGCCGATATTTGTATAGGGTGGTTGGTGAGTCGGCGGCCTCCATTTTCCCCTTTTCGGTATGTTTCCCGGCACCGATAAGCCTTATTCGTTTCTCTGTTCGCCGATCGTTTTGATAACAGGCCGTCGGGTACCTGTGAATTGGGTGTGGGATGTCGATAAATTGAAAGTTTATCGTCCATATCTGATAAATATTGTCGACTTTTAACACTGAAATGATGATAGACTGCTAAAGTTATAGCACTTGAGGGGACTGATTTCAAGATGAGACCCGTCGAGCCCATGAGCGGCTCAACCGCATCAAGAAGCGGTTGCTGGACTTCTTGCGTACCTTCAGGTCGTCGTCCGCGCTGTCGAGCGAGAGGCTGCGCGCCTTATTCAGAGGAATTTCAGTTGTCTTTGCATTCTTCATGTCCGTATGCCTTCTGGTTACGGTCTCGTTATCTGATTCCGATCGTTGAAGGGACTGCCTCTTAACTTGCTTGCTGGCGGGCAGGTTGGGAGCGGAGATGGGGTCGGGGGTAGTCTCGACGGCATGTCTTGTCAAGAAAGCATCACCCTTTGGTGTTGGTGCCCTGCTCCTGTTCTCGCCATCGCTGGGATTGTTGGGGCACTTCATGAAAGCAAACGGGAACGGGATCTCGTCACCGACTGCTCAAGGGATTAGTTATGCCTCAGCCAGAGAAGGTGGATGCACTTACCGAGCTTGCACCATAGCCTCAAGTCAACCGTGTACTTGAAAAAATCGTTGGATACTGTAGTGAGCTGATTCTGGGCCAGCCAGATAACCGTCCACTCCTCGGCCTCCTTGATCGCCTGCGCCTTCTTGCCGGGAATGAGGAGCTGAATGTCCTTGCTGGCCGCGAAGTTGAGGACAAACTGTCGTCGCGAATACTCGGCCGCCGTCAAAGCCTTTCGAACCTCCATCTGGTCGATATCCTGCTGGGAAGTTCCTCGACGCTTTTCCCTTACTGCCATGTTCGCCGCTGAAGTCATGATGATGTGTAAGAAACAAAACCCAGAGAAGTGACGTATATGGTATGGAGTTTGTCTTGGGAACTTGCTGTCAAGGAAGCGTCGCTCTGGTGGTAGCGAGAAAGGAGTGTCCTGTGGGAAACCCCTTTGGATGGCTGGCAGCTCCCTCCGGGCCTCTTTGTAATGTTGAAAAGAGGAAGATGGTAGTTGAAGAGACGACGGCGTCTAATTGTGTAACAGGAGACAAGACAATAGAAGATTAGGCCGGACTTTGGTTGACAATCAATATACCGGTGTCGATCCGATGGTGAACACTGCAGAGACCCGCGGCAGATATGTGTGATGATAGGGCAGTGTAGCAACAGCTAAGCTGACAGGAGTCTCGGTGGAATGATCAGTGAGACCATAATAGGATCACACAGAGAGGTCTCAAGAAAGGAATCGATCCGGGAGGTTCGGGACAGGGGATCCTTTAAGTACAGATAACGTACTCGAGCGGCAAGGGGGATGAGAGGACCTGACTGGGGAGGACTGAGGAGGAGCCAGCTGGCAGGGTTCCGTTGTAGGATCCCAGGGATCCCAGGAATTTCCCAGGATGGCGGCCAGGTTTGCGTTTGACGGGGCCTGACGAGAGCCAAGCAGTGCGTTCTCGAATGCGGGAGCTTGGAAAAGGAGTCAAACAAAGTGAGGACCCATTCGGACCCATGGGTGGCTGCAGAACGAAACCGAAAAAGAAACAAAGTCCGGTCTTCTCTTCTCCCATGCTGGGTCATCACAAGATTCAGAGTGGAAGCGTACCATCAAGTCGGGTCGCTTGGCTAGGTAGGTATTTGCTCGTCTTTGGACATCGATGTCGCTACAAGGTAAGGTGAGTAAGCGGGACCCGACGTGTCAGTGAGCGCCCGAAGCTGCCAAGACGCGCCGTGTCTGGCCATGATGCTGCGTGGAACTCGGGCGTGGAGATGTCTCCGGAATGTGCTTGGCATGATGTTGTTGAACGACGGACGATGCTTCAGGGACAGCGACAGTCAAGTCAGGTGGAGCAGATGACGGGACATGGTCGATGCGGGGAAGCTTGCCGGGAGATCTCCATGCGGTTGAAGTTTGATTTGGACAAGAACTGAAGCGTCGCGTCTTTGCCCGCCCGGCACTCAGTCGACAGGGCAGCGAGGGCAGGGCAGTATTACAGTATGGGACCTCCAATTCGCACATCGTCCCTTCCACTTTGGAGATCACCAGAGGTTAGTACTGTAGCAGATAGGCAGCACTGCAGCAGCCTGCCTGCCAGGCCCGCGACACTTGCCTTACCTGTAAACAGGCATTGCAGATGGGCAACCACCATCCACCATCCACCATCCCTCATCAAACTTGTAATAAACGTTCAACAAATCGTTCACCATATGACACTCACCCAATTCCCCCCCTCATACGCGTGCACTCAGCCGATTACTAACCCCTTTTTCTTTCCAGCCTCTCAGCTACATACCTAGACCTAGGTATGTACTCCGCTACACCGCCATGACCGATGACACTTGTTGTTTTGACGGCTCGTATAAAATGAAATTGGGCACGTCCATGCGAACACGTTACGTTGACGCGCTCGCCGATCGTAAGACGCCGGCACGCTATCTATCTCGGTGGAGAAGCTGAATTGGCCAGAACGGTCCCTGGGCCGGGCCTTGACCGTCCTTTCGTGCCTCACGGGTCCCTTTTGCATTCCCAGGTTCCCTAACAAGCTTCAACCAGGCCCCTCAGTTCCAAGACCCCGCCAGCAACTGTTCCCACACTCAATCGCCTGTGCAGTCTTGGCGGGGTGTGTGCGTACACACACACACACACACACCGCACTTCTGTATTATACAACTTCGTTAAAATTCATCATTTAATGACAATTTCTAGATTATTTTAAAGCTATTTCAATGTACAAAGTAATTAAAATACTAGTAATTAATTAAATCTATTATAATAATACTTCCTAAAACGATTTTTAATTTAAAACCCGCTAGTGTAAAGCACTCCCGTATTCGAAGCAGCGTACTAGCAATCTACTTTAACGAAGATTAAAATAAGGAGGATCTTAGCCTAATAATTCTATAATACGCTTCCTCCCGCCCTAGAAAGAAGAGTTGTAAAGCCGAATAATCTATTAAAATTATCCTTAAAATTATTCTACCTAAGAAAAAAGCTACTCCTATTAAAACTACCCCTAAGAAGACCGCCGTTAAGAAAGGGAAGGCTCTTACTAGAGACCTAACACTAGAATTAGAATTAGAATTAGAACTAAAACTACCATTATTCCCCCCTAAATTTATAATACTTATTAAAATTTCTAGTAACGAAGAGGATTCTAGCGATAATAATAAGGTCGAATAATAGCTCCCCGTCCGCCTTACCCCTAAAAAGCGGGCTTTCAATATTTTATTTTATTTATCGGATAATAATAATAGCGAAATAGCCTCCCTAATTAAATTAATTACCTTAGCGTTACCGGCCCAGCCCTACGCTACTTGTAAGCCGGTTATTTTAATACCGCTGCCGTATTCCAAATACCCTAAATTAATATAGGTCCAATTTAATATAGTTAGTTTATATATTACTATTAACTATAATAAATTACCCCCTATTGAAGATTATAATTTATTTATAGAGGTTAAGGTTAAATAAAACAATAGCGAACTCTATAAATAGCGGTTTAGAACGATACTATTTAGGGTGATTAAATATTTATAGTAAAATTATATATAAGATATTATTAATAATAATATAGTTCTAAGGATAAAATAATTAATTTCTTTATATAATATTATTTATATTATTACCGTTTATAATAACCGTCGCGCTCGGGTTATTGTCTATAATGAAATTATCTTTAGGAAAGAGTTCTTTAATAAATATAGTAATTTTAAATATAAGACTATTATAAAGTTATACTTTTATTATATTAGCTAGAACTATTATTTTACTATATTATTCAAATTTTAATTAACTAACCCGCCCGCTAATAAAATCCCTACTATCCTATCCTCCCGTAGTAGTATACCCTCTACTCCTACCCTATCTCGTAATTTAATTAATCCTTTTATTACCCTATAAACGGCCAATATACTATTATTATAAGAGTTACAAATTCTAACCGGTATTAAAAAGTTTAAATGTATTATAATAAATACTATACTAATAGAAGTTAAGAAGAATTTAGAGGAGGATTAGTAGCGAGAGGAGCGTACGGGGGTAAAGCTATATAGTACTATATATTAGGGGTTAGTATAGATATAGGCGTATAGTTTTAATTATAAGTATAAGAATTATAATAAGGCTATTAAATATTAAATGTACTATATTATTAATAGGAATATAACTTACTATAACCTTAATGTTAAAAATTATAGGTAAATAGGTACGCGCAATCTCGTTAGGGAAAACTATAATAATTAACCCGCCCGGTAATTTATTATAAGAAATATTAAATAATAAAGCAATAACCGCCTCTAGTATTAATAATAGTAGTAAATATAAGGGAGGAAGTAATAGTTTACTAATTAATATTAATATTATTAATAATAATAATAATAATAATAATAATAATAATAATAATACCAATATAGAAACTATAAATAATCTACTATAAGTTATATTAAGGAGGGATAATTTTAAAGGTCTATATTAACTATACCCTCCTCCCCTATACTTACTATACCTGCTACCCTACTAGTATTTCCCTCCCTACTTTTAATTTCCCTAAATTTAATTACCTCCTCCTTATACCGCCGGCGGCTCTATAGCCAACTTAATAATTATAAAGGGTTATAATTATAATATAGTGGGCACTCTCCCCCTACCGGGCAAAATAGTAATTATTAATTCGTATATACCTTTAAATTACTTTACTACTATATTCTATAGGCACCTAACCGACTATAAGACTCTCGCTATTAAATGTACTAATACTAATCCTCTTCTTATTTTTATAGTAACTATAATTTCTATTTAGCTATCCGTACTACCGTTAATTGTACCGCCGTCGGTAACGGACGAAGAGAATAAGGGTAAGGAAATTAGAAAATTCCCAATAGAGGCTAGAAAGTTATTTATACTACATCCGCCTATATTTTCAATTCTTAATTTTCGTTCGTTACTACTACCCCCCGCCCCGCCTAATCGGCCGGCTAAAGAAATTATTACCGAATTCTTTAAAACGTTCTATAAGCGTTACTATATTAGAATATTAATTAAAGCAATACTAGTACATAGAATTCTAATTGCTTTAAAGAATAAGCTCTAGAATAAAGAGGCGCCGCCCAATATACTTATACTTAAAGAATAGCTAGCAGAATAATTTACAAGACTAGGGTTTTATTATAGGCATTACTACTATATTTCTATATATAAATAGGTACTATACTATAGTAGTGTAGTTAGCTGTACAGCTGCCTAAATATAGTACAATAGTTACGTACACACGTACTGTAGTCCGTATATTAGACCTACAACGTGCTCTATATAGTTCTCGTACGCGTATAGGATTCTCTTCCTATTCCTTATATAATAATTAAAGTCTTAATTTAGTGCTTGCTCGCGCCCCGTAGTACTTTATTATACTTAATTATTGCGTTAACGCGCAATAAGTAATTTCGGAAAGACTAAGTGTAGTAAGAAATTATTGTTGTAGATTGGTCTTTGTAAGATTATATTCGGTCGATTAGTATAGTCGCTAGTAATTAATTGGAGATATATCTGATACCGGTCAATACGAAGCGAGATTTTAATTAAATATTACGAATAATATTAAATACTACGAGTGGTATTAGTATCATAAATGTAATTGTTATAATAAGGTTGATACCCTTTTTATTTGTTATTTTTGAAGTATTATCGGTTAGAATTATAATAAGATATTTAGTTCTAATAATAAAGCTTAATAGGATTAAATTGATTTATATAAGGTATTTCTAATATTATTAAAAGGCTTCGATTAGTTCTAGTATATTTATAAGGAAGAGGCAATAGGCCTCTTAATCCCT